GCAGAACCGCTTTCTACATCATCAATTAGCAGCTTCGAAATTTTGAGTGATATGTAAAAATATTGTTCGGCTGGGGAGTTGGACAGGATTTGATTTCCAGCACTGCGACATGCTCTAAATGATGATAGGTTAGCATGATCGTTGTTGCTCAGCAACTTATAGCATCGCTTTCAATCCTTTATTTGAAACAAAAGCATCAGGCTCGATATCCCCTTCGTCATAGTTAATCCCCTTCATGAAAACGACGAAGGTGAGCAGCCAGAGTGTGCTAGGCGTCTTATAACTCTCCTGGTCCTCTTTTTCTTCAGGTTCATCTCGTTTTCGCCCTTTGTGGTCGGTTTTTGGATGTGTCGAGTTCGCCATTTCAGATTCGAAGCTGGCGTTTTTCCGGGGCGTGAGACCATAGTCGTTGTTTGTTAGGTGCCATGTTTGCTTAGGACTCAACAATGACGCACTATTAAACATAGCGCCCCTTCTCACGTTGCAGTAGTCCGGTTAAGAGGATTTATGCCTCCTTTGGTGGTTGTGTTGGACATCGTTGACATCTTTGTGGACGTGTCTCGACTGAGTCCAGATTTCGTTGAATTTGCTTGAATTTTTGACATGTTTTTTGTTTTCGACTTTGCACTATTACTATTGTACTTAATTCTCGTTCTGTTCCAGCTATCCAAATCCTCCATCTTATGTTTATCATAACTGCACTTTGGAGGGTTTTTCATAACTAGGACGGCAATTAGTGCATATGTGCGAATAATTGGATGCCAATTAGCGTGGTGTGTGAGAAGTCATGGCCCATTTTAAGACACTGCCTTGTTGTACTCAATGAACAGTGGAAGAAATTTTGAATGTTTTAATTTCGTAAGTTGTGAGCCGCTAAAACTGCCTAAAAGCAAGTGTAGAGATTATGCACTCGATGCACTTTTACTGTTTCACTGAACATATGAACACCACGATGTTCAATTCATCGACACGTGTTGTTGACGGATGTGCTCGGCCACGATGAACCTAGACATCACGTTTTACTAGCGAATCGCCCTCAAGTCAACACTGATAAAACCTTTCATCGTATTTTTTTCGTGGCCTAATGCTTGAGTTGTCGCTTCCAATTTGTGTTGTTCGAATTACTCTTAATTGCCCAGTAATGGCCCTCTGACGCGACGACAAGAAAGCTCGATCTCTTTCGTTTCCCTTTGTAAAGGGTAGTTGTCCCTTTTTAATTCTGAAGTACTGGTAATTTCTGCGCTATTGTTTGGCTCTAGAAATATGTATCGTGTTCTTCTTGACTTATAGCCAATTTGTAGCCTGCTTTGCACCATTTTATGTCTTCGCCCGGAGAACTTTGTGGCATGGATATGCCTTGTTTCAGTCTCAGACATCAGCCAGAAGAATGTCGTTCTTCGTCATACTTACGTTATCTTGGTTCTTATATATGCTGGATACGATATAGCACCGACCACATACAGTCTCCTGCTTCTAAGAGAGACGTTCTGCTACTTTTTTTCATCCGAGTTAACCTAGTTCCTTGAGGGCAGACCAAGCCAATCTCGTCCCAGTGGTATGAGCTTGTGGATGAGGACCTTTCTCGTTTTTTTTATTTTTCAATACTCGTGGAGAATTTGAGATTCATTAAAATAGGCCACCCAGTACAGTAGTGAATGGTGCGGCTTGGAACATGGCAGAGTTTTGGACTTCTGAATGTGTTATTAGGAAGGTCATTTGAATATAGTATGGTTAATACGGGCGAAGATGGGTAATGGCAAACCGCACCGACTGCCTCGTGCTCGTTCCGATTTCAAATCCCGGCTTGAATCTTATCTCAGACAACAAGATACCAGGTTCAAGAATAGGACCACTTGCCTGCATATCAGCTCTTTTACGCAAAGGCCAAGTCGAATATAAATACCTGAATGGGAGCAGAATGCATGGCGCATCCCAGAAGGAATTAACATCAACGATTGCTTTGTCTTCATCTTTTTTAATTGTGTGAAACTGAGCTCCATCTTACTCATGTGACTTTGGACTAGCCGTGCAAGGGTGATTTTCACTGATATTATCTCGAATTTGTGACATGTTATCGAGTTTTGACTGCTTGAAGGGCATTCGAAACGGCATTCGAACGAAATTGGTCTATGGTCGTCAGAATGCCCTTATAGGCAGTAAAACCGGCAAGGAGTTACACGACTTAAGACTTATGTTTTAGATCTTCGTAAGGCATTTGTCATTGATCCCATCAGTGTTGTAGAAAATGGATCTCGACAAATCTTTTGCACAGGATTTAAAATAAGTTTTACATTTTACAGAAATTAAATGAAACAGCAGTTGAATTCGAGCTCTCTTGTTTTATAGAAGGACTAGCTAATGTATTCTGAGGAAGCAGGGAAAAGGATCTTAACAATCTTGTTTTTTTTTCGTCCCCCATTCACAGGTCGATTCTACGTTGTAAATGGTTTCAAGTGTTACCTGTGATTAGTAGCAGCGTAGCAGAAGCTCTAAAGGCGTACATGGTTCGTCCCCTTTCATGACGATAGAGCCACCCACTAATCCAAAGTTTGTGTATTTTCTCTTCGTAAAATTGCGTGTCATGGGTGCTAGGGTATCGCCTTTCCGCCGAGAGCTGCTTCAGCCGTTGATCTCGATATAACGGTCAAGCGGTGGGTTTCTGCGTATTGCACATCCTTCACAACTCTCATCTGTCTGGTCACCGTAACCATTGATTCTTCTTCGTACTCAAAATCTAAAAGGGGCCCGTTGTCATATTTTTTTCGGCGGTTTTTTCATTTTTTCTTCAGTGGCGGTCACCTCTATTTCGTTTTCAAGCGAAATCACCACTTTTTGAAGATTGTGCCTTAAGAACGGTAACATATGTCTTGTTGAGCTTAACAGTCAGGTCATGAAGTAATCGGTGATCGGTCGAAAGGCACCTACTGTGCGCCGAATACGCGTCATGCGTGCCTTGTTGGCGCTCTTCGCAGTGTCCGCACTGTCCCAACTCGGCAACGGCGCAAAGTATGAAAGCAATTTTTAGGGCAGTCATTGCAGTTGGGTTTTCACGAAGTTACGGGCACCATTGCGCTGAAGACCTGTTCTCTAGTATTCTGGAGCTTTCTCGCAGTTGCTGACTAGTAACATCATACGATTTGGTCAAGGGCGTGCAACTATTTCTTCAACTAAACTACTAAAACCAAATTGTTTTACACCGAAAAGTCGCAATCTCAACCATGTCGTTGGTCTCTTTCTCACTGGACTGGGATATTTCGTCACCTCAACCCGTTGGCGACTCATTACCACAAAGTCATTTGACTGGCGAAGACATGTCGTTGAGCTGGCTGAAACATAGTAAATGAAAAACAATGACTGCCCTTGTGTGTTTGCTGGTAGCCGTTGGTTGTGGTCGAGCTGTGTTGAGAGGATGCGACTTCCGGTGTTGTCGTTTTGCCGTGCCGTTTTTATCGCTGCCCAGAGATGAATCGAGTGTCGGTCCTGGTGGTCCCTAAATCACACAACGTCGGATAGAGGACACATTGCTTGAATGTGCAAAATAACGCATTGGTAACATCGGTGATCTTTCATTGACTCGTCTTCCAGAATACCTCCTTGCCCACCCCGTCTTCCCCCACAATTATGCTCCCATTTCCTATTAAGGGAACCAAAAATTAGGGGGCTCATGTCAATCTTGGCCCAAAGGAATTCGCGCAAGCTCAGATTTGAAGAGAGCCAGGTGTCACGCGATGGAGACATCGAGAAAGCGTGCAGTGTGTCCTTTGTTGTGTCTGAGGTACTCTGGGTTTTCAATGTACACTACTTGCTCCCGTACTTATTGAAGCACATATGGGATCGAAACCAAGCCGAAAAATGCTTTTCCTGGACGTGAGATTGAATCATGTAGCTGTCTCGTTCTTTCTTACAAATCCTAAGGCAAGATGGATTCTGGTTAAACGCGTGAGATTTGAGCGGTTTTTCAAGCGATGCTTGCGCTATAGTTATACAGATAGTCATTTACTTACGGAAGGGCAAGCACCTCTCAGTTACTAACCCACAATTTTGAAAATTGGTAACTGCGATACAATTCATCATTCCTTAACAGTCATCAGCGATACACTACCTTGAAAGTGTCTAAGCTTTATAATTATCAAGATTTTCGAAAGAAAGCCCAAGAGGTGTTCTTATAGCCTTTCCAGCCTGTGAATCCAATGCGAATGAATGGACTCTTAGCAGTGACTTTAGTCTTTTGAGATTTTCTTCGACATAGAAGCGGTTCCTTGCCTTCGTATCCTTATCTCCATGGGCCTGAATTGATGTCCTACATTTTTCTTGACTTGGCTGGAAAAGCGGTCTCGAATGGACACTACTTTCAAAGACAGAGTTGTAGCGGAAGAGGCAGCGGCTTCGCTTCTTCACGGATCACAAGATTTTTTCCTGTTTGACTCTCATGGAGCCTTCGCATCTCCTGGCCCTTCATAGTCTGACAATGGTGAACAGCTTACCGTAGGCACTTGTTTTTATTAGATTTTGATGCTTCTTTTTGAGACGTTTCTGCTCATTATTGATTGTCGCAGGTAACATTACGTTGCTATCGAGGTAATTAGCGTGGTATTACGAAGTCATTTTGGCTAATCTGTTGTCTTTGACTCATGGTCTTAGGCTGGGTTTCGTTGTGTTCTTTCCCCTGCGCGAAGTGATTATTTCCTCTACTTTTTTGTCTCTCGTAAAAAATGACTAAAATTTCAGCTGTTGTATCGCAGTGTTAAGTTGTTATTGCATTCGTTGACTCGGTAATATTGAAAAGCTGGGCTGTGTGATTGGAATGTAGTCGTACCTGCCTTCACTTCTCATTCCACCTGCAGTTTATGCGAGTGATTCAGTCTAGTAGTTAGTAGTCATCTGCCTGATATGAACCTTATTTCATAGGGTTTCAGTACTGGTTCTGCAGGCTCGTAGTAGTCCTCTGTGCCCTTTTTATTGTAATCAGTTGTACTTGTTGATACTAATCGATTTTTCAGATGCGAGATGAAAACATGGTGAATAGTGCCGAGGATTCTTTGAAGAAGCTTCTAGATAAGAACAACCGCGATCTGAATATCGATGACGGATATGTTAGTTTATAAACGCTATTATAGCCAGTGTGAGCCAGCGTCCAGGATTGCCCGATTGGGGAGGGGGGCTTGTTTTGATTCCGGTCATATGGCATTGGAAAACATACTTTGGAGGAGCGTAGGATTCTGGTTGGATACGGAGTCTTTTGGAAAGGTTCGCATGAAGTCTGAGAAATTTTGAGAATTTTACGAGAGTTCTCAAATTGTTGCTGTTTCTGAGATACGTTCCTCTCCTTCACTTGTTCCTGAAGGGCGTATTAGCTAACAATGGAATAACAGTCGTTTAAGTCAAATTCCTCGATACTTGGCTCACCTTGGTTCTTACATGCCCCTATTTTTCAATTCAAAATTGACGTTTATTTTATCGACAATTATTTCAGTTGCGATTTGATAGCTCGGCAGATCCCGAACCACAATCGCATTTTTGTCGGGTAGTGAATAAATCGGGTAATACGGAAATCAAATTCACCGACCAGCCATCTTGTATGGGTAGAAGTGATGGTGCTACCACTCATAATGGTAAATCCTATGAGGTATGCTTGCTTTTCGGCTTCTGGTTCTCAAAGTGCGTTAATTAGCGTTCATTTTGTTCATTAATTAATGTTGTAGGCATCAAATTCTGAATCCACGAACGCGGACGATGCGTTTTTTGACCTCTTGTCTCGTATGCAGTCAGCTCGACTTGACGAGCAACGATGTGATCTTTCCATAATCACATCGCGAACAGGCACTGGACGACGACAAACGGACAGCTTAATGGCAACACAAAATGGTTTGTCAGTTTTCAGTTAGAATAGAATGGAGGTTAGCTGTGGTCAGCTGCTAAAGTGCACGTTGAAGTGACGGGTTGAAATCTGGCAAATCGGTTGATATCACGGAGGCTGTTGCTGATGGTGGCGCTGTCACATCTTGTAGCAATCCGGGCGTCATTCGGTCAGACAGAATTGCGAACGCTATGCGGAGTGAATTTGTTTACGCCTCGTAGTCATTGCCACGCCTTTTCATTTGGCGAGCTGGCGGCAGCATACTCCCTCACTCCCTCGAGTCCCGAGCGAAGCGCTCGTCGTTTGGTTAACGGTATTTGCATGCGAATACACAGCAGCACTCTGCTGCCGCTCCTAACTCAATGTCATCTAGCTGTTTTTGTGTGCCCAAATTTGATTGGTTGTGCTTTTTGGCTCGTTACTCAATCCTGTGCACAAATTATCCTTACTTATATGTTTGCTTCGAATAATCACCTTTAATTAGATTAAGGTGCACAAATAGATAGTGCCTTAGCTTATCCCCCAATCTTAAAGTAAAACTAACCACATGCAGGGTGAGCCAAGTGTCGAGGAATTCGGCTAAAACGACCCCTTTCCCTGGGGGATAATTCGATGTCCCAGTTATTTAGTGCGTCACAAATCACCTCCGTCCCCAACACTTACTGCCATCCTAAAGCCCATTCTCTTCTATCCAATGTGAAATATACCTGTCTTTCGAAAAAATTTCCAGTACGGTGGGGGCCAGAAAACGTACGGAAATTTCCGCCAAATTCCCAAAATTTCGTGATTTCTCAAAAACAAAAATCTTCCCGATGATTCGCTTGATTGTAAGCCCTACTCCCCACCAGGGTGAATATCGGTCGAAGATTCGTCAACGGCTCGTCGAAGATTTTCTCCCGTGCAGTCACGCCCTCCTGCGCGGGAATTCGCTGTCCTCACGCGCAACCCGTCTGCGCTCTTCGCGCGTACATTCACCCTCGACACTATTCTCACGCAGTACAGAGCCAGGTCGAGGATTTTATTGGCCGTTATTCACTCTACTTCCCGCATATCAAAAATACACCCTGAGTTTATCCCAGTACTATATTCTCCCCTGGAGACCCAAAAATACGACCCTATTTTGGGGAATCATCGAAGTTGACTTCCCCCAGAGCGGTGCTGGTGGTGGGCGTTTCATTGCAAAGATAATTCCTTTAGAATTGAAACAAGCCTTAGCCGATGTTTACTGTCAAATGCTGGTAAATGCGATTTGAAACGTGGCTGTTAATTTTGCATCCGATCTTTGTTATTTCTCAAGGGGCATCGCGTGCATGTCGGCCGAATAGCAGTTGCCAATTGCTTTCACGCGCTTCCGCTGTTGCTCTGCCTAGTCTTTAGTAATTTGTAGTGATGGACGTGTGGTGGTGTGCATGCGTTTTGTGTTCTTTCTTTTCTAGACGACTCCTTCGTAATACCCGAAGATCGCAAGTCGTTGCTTGGACGTGTTCGAGACACGTTGGCCAGAACTGCAAGACGATCGCGTAAAAACCGTGATGGCAACAGAAGCAATACGTCGATGACAACCGACGAAGGAACGAACAGTTACAAGGGCAGCTTTGATAGCATCAATACTTTGGCAACACATTGGGTGACCGTTGACACGCCAAGTGGAGAGCAAAAGGTGTTCACAGTGGACTTTCAGAGGAATACGCCACATGGCGAGCATTCTGTACCGCCGAGTTTGAAGACACTCTTCGAAGATGCTGAAAAGGTGGAGGCTGATAACCTTGCGCTTGACGGCGGAGAAGCGTATTCCAAACTGGTCAATTCTCATGGAAAGCAGAAGAAGGGGAAAGCAGTAACTATCGAGTTTGTAGAGAATTCTCCTATGGGGAAGGAAAACATAGGTCGTTGTCACGATCGTTACGAAGGAAAAGAGGCAGTTATGATAGACTTCGCGGGAATTTCCCCACGCGAGAAATATCCGCTGTCTCAGGTTCTTGAGAATAACATGAACGAAGCTGTTCTTGAGAATAAGATGAACGAAGCTGAGTCCTTGGGAAATAACTCACTAGAAAGGGATCAGCCGATCAGTTCGACAAGTAAGCCGTCGAGTACGCACACTTCGGAGAATGTTAAGCGTTCACGTACGTCCATTGCAGGAAATATGAGAAAAGGCAGAAAGCGTAAGTTTTTCGATGCTTTCACATGCTTCGAGGCTAGTTACCAAGAAGCTTGTACACGGGAAAATCTGGCTGGAATTGATTTACCAATTTAGCCCTTTGAGGTGGGCTTCCGGTGTGGGGGAAGAGGGATTGTTGCCTAGTTTTTTTTTACTCTTCCTTTTCTTCCCATGTAGAAGCTTCTTGATTTCGACTTATTCTTTTTCTGTTTTTTCACAGGAACCCAATAAAGCCCAAATAGTTTGCATGGTTTGGTTTTAATCGTGCAGTGTTGTCTTAAATACACATTCCACGATAGCAGTGTGGGGCTAGTGGGGTTTGAACATGGACTCATGAGCGCCAGTCCTTTAGTGAAGAAAAGCGCAAAATAAGCTGTAGCAAAATCCAGAAATAATCTCTGTCTCGCAACTGACAGTCGACATATTGTACGAGCTTTAGTACGAGCCTATGTCGAAGATAGTACGTCAAGATGAGAGATATTGACGAAGAAGGCGCGACGCACACATCAAATCGCATTAAGGCGTAGATTGCGAATGGGGCGTGGATTGCAAGTGAACTAATTCCTTAGTGCCGTAAATGGTGTAACCTGCGTAATTGCGATCAATTCACTTGCTTGACTTTTACCCAATCAACTATCGTGGAATGAGCAACGCAGTGTTATAGAATTTGGCGTGATACCGTGAAGCTCAAAAAGATTAAATTTGCTTGCTTTCATAAAAGTGTTGTGCAGATGTTAATTAACGTCGTTCGGGCAGATGGGTCTCATTTTGCAGGGCAGCTTTGCGTTGTTGGAATTCTTTGCTTTGAATTGAGCGACATCTTATTTGCTGTCTTTTTGCTGCACTTTCGCTTTATGTAGTGCCCGTGGCCCCATGCCATGCCTTTTTACAATAATGGAAGAAAAATTCAAAATAAATTTCTAATAAGAAATGTTTGGAATGGGGGAAGGGGGGGAAAGTGTGTTATGTTGGTGTTTGTTTTGAAGTTTTTACGCACTTCCATCTTTACTTCTACTGAATTTTATCGAGAGGGCAGGTCCATGAAAGTGTGGTTGAAACGCTAATGGGACTGTTCTAGTAGTGAGTAAATAGTGCGCCCACGCCTATTTAGTTGTGCGGGGTGTGGATCAAAAGCAGACGGCTGCAGATGCATAAAGCAGTTCATAGGGCCGAAAAAAGCTGTGCAAAATGAGCAGAATCCGAAAGTTGACTCGGCTCTGAAATTGCATTCATTAAATTAAGTATTTCGTAAATGTTCCAATATTGATTGTAATGGAGAAGTATGTAGTTGAAAGACTTTGAAATACTTGGGCGGATAAAGGTTTGGGAGTGGCTAGGTTTTTCGTAGTGTTTCGTGTGACCTTGCGCTCCCTGAACTCGACTTTGAACGTTTTTGATATGCGTTCGGACTAAAAAGTATAGCGCTAAAGCTTGGATGTACATGGTAACGAATTTGAATTCCAAATTGATTTATTTTGCCATTTGAGCGGCAGCTGTCTTTTCGAGTTTATCCCAAAGCCCAAATATTCATAAATTTCTTCAAACATCTAGCGGCGGCCCACACGGCTGTTTTCGATGTGCCAAACGTCAGCAACAATCGCTTGATTTCGACATTTATTGGGGTAAATAGCGCTAGAAAAATGAACTCAGGCCAAAGTGAGTTTGTGATTCATGTTCGCTATATGAGATTCTTGTGGTTGTGAATTGCCCAATCATAAACATCTTGGCACACTTGCCTCCAACAGACCCACTTGCTCCTGCGCTATGCATTTTCCAACGAATTTATATGGGTGGTATTAGTTTGCTACTGCTTTCCGATGGGCCTTCTGGAACCTTAGTTTTTGGAAGTAAAAGTAGAAAGCAAATCAGAAGTAATTTTCCAGGTTACTCTGAAAGCTGCATTGCAAAAGTTCACTCCGCGTGTCCCTCGCGACAGATTTCGCGGCAATTAATCCAAGCCGTTCCAAACGCATCAATTTTCTCCACTCACTTGCGTTCACTTGTCTGAATAGTTTCCAAGAGTGCTTAACCTCACATCATCTAACTCTCCTTACTTAATGAGTGGCTAAATTACACGTATAGCCTTGTCGAGCTCTTGAAGGTCCCGGTTCAGGTGTACGTTGTTTCACAGCATTCAATGCAGAGTCTGACGTTCTCCCTTATCGTCTGCGCTCTTTCTTCTTTGAGTAGGATTAGGTGGAGTTCCTCACACGATCCTACCGCAATAGGCCAAAGATCAGACAGATAAAGGACAGCCTATGACTCAGCATCGAAGCTATGATTGAACAAAAAGTTGAATTGGGCATGGGCTTTAAAGAGAACCCCGGATGCATGAGCCACTTGTCATGCATGGCGCACGGCGCAAACCATGGGCATTAATCTGATAATACATTTATGATCTGTTAGGGTGTGAATGTCTCCATAAGCTTTGCAATGGGGTAACTGCGTAAAACGGGCCGTTTCCACGATGTTATCGCGGGGTATGAAAGCACCGATACTCTCATTGCCTATAAGGTGTTTCCGAGCCAAGACATGTGCTATGAGCAATGGCCTGAACCGCGCCTCGTTCATTGGAATTTGTAGAAAATGTGGTAACGTATAAGATGTAATAGGATGATTACCTTAAAGGCAAGATTCCAGGATGATGTTATGAGGTAATTCACTCAAATGTGAAAGGTATGGTAGGAAGTGGACCGCCAGTGGGGAAAAAAAGAACAAAAAACGTGAAATGCACAGGAAATACGAGCCTTTTGCTCTACCTGCGAAAGAAGTTCGAAGGCCTGCAGGAGATAGAGATGTGAGTACGGAGAGCGCTAGAGAGTATGAGAGGGAGAGAGCATAGCAGATATCAAAGATTAGCGACGCAGACAAGACTTTGGGCGGTGGGCGGAGCGTGTCGGCAACAGGGGAGCGTGTCAAAGTTCGTAGCGCCTAGCGTCTAAAGTAACGCTTTCGAAGTAGGGAAGTGATCGCGACCTTACACTTGCCGTACTGTACAACCTCTAGCCAACCGTAGTATGCTCATTGAGTGGTCCTGAGGCCCAGAAAACGTTTGGCCTATGGGAATGAGAAAGAGTAAGAATCCCCACATCGTCGGTGTGCGATAAAGAACTCCGACTCTATAAGTGCAAAGGGGTACTGTGTGAAGGAGGAGAGGGAAAACGTGCATATTAGACTAGTAGAAAAACAGTCTTGCTCCGCATGGAGCCTAAGAGAGGAGTCTTGAATGAAATTGAGAAGTTATCCCGGAAACGAAGTGTATACAGTCTTTATTTTGGATCGTGGATCGACCAATCGGTAGAGGCACATTTGTTAGAACTACCTAAACCCCGTCTCAAAATTGTAATATAAACAAGCAACACGAGCCCTATTATCAACCTTCTCCAAACGTCCCATAAAGTCCAATGTATCTTCTAGCCAACACTACATCCCACTGATACGAGCACGGAGTGATCACTTCACAACAAAGAAGTCTGATAAGTGCTGAGTTCTGCGATAGCGAAAGCAATAAAGTATTTATCTGTGAGTATCGGATGATCCCGTGATTAGTATCATGCTCCGACAGGCCATTGTATGAGTAGAAGAAATCGAGACGAGAGAGTGCGCCGTGGTTTGAGGGGCGATCTATTCCTGAACCCATAGATTATTGCACAGCTCATACGGCAATGGGTAAGTATCTGTGCGTTACACAGCGCCGTGATTACGACTCGTGAGAGGGCCCGTTTTCGCAATTACCCCATTGCAAATCTATGGAGACAAGTCCCCCCCCTAACAGAACATAAAATATTTGTCAGGTTAATGTCCATGGTTTCCGCCTGTGCGCGACAGAATCTTACTTTATGAGCTGACAAGTGCTCATGCATCGGGTTCCTCTTTAAAAGGCCACATGGCCACCAACTTTTGCTATCAATGCATGAGCGTTGAATGCTGAAGTCATGATAGGCTGCCCTTTATCTTCTGATCTTTAATGGTTGATTGCGGTGGGGATCGGGTGTGAGGAACTCCCACCTAATCCTAACTCAAAGAAGAAAGAGCGCAGGATAAAGGGACAATGTCAGACTCTGCACTGAAGTGCTGTGAAAACAACGGTAGCACCTGAACCGGGACCGATTCCCCTTCCAAGGCTCGACAGAAGGCTGAGTCCGTGTAGAAGAATTTAGCCACTCATAGTAATGAGTTAGAGTGACTGTGAGGTAAGGGCACTCTTGGAAACTACTTCAGACAAAGTGCAGACCAAGTGACGGAAGAAAATGATTGCGTTTGGAACGGCTTGGGATTAATTCGCCACGAAATCGTCGCGAGGAAGGAACGCGAGGTGAACTTTTTGCAAGTGCAGCTTTTCAGAGGCAGCCTGGAAAGATTACCTTCGTCGAGTGTTGCTTTCTACTTACTTTCAAAAAACTAATCGTTCCAGAAGCCGCATCGGAAAGCAGTAGCAAAACTAGATACACCTCATCATAAATATCGTTGCGAACATGCATTAAGCGCAGGAGGCAAGTGGCTCTGTTGGAGGCAAGTGGTGCCAATATGTCTATTGGATTGGGCCAATTCACACAACCACAAGAATGCATCATATAGCGAACGATGAATCGACAAACTCAACTTTTGGCCTGGGTTCATTTTCATACGCATAATTTACCCGGGGGCCCAATAAATGTCGAAATCAAGCGATGTTGCTGACGTTGGGAGTCACAATCGAAAACAGCCGTATGCCCCGCTCGCTAGAAGTGTTTTGAGAAATTTAGAAAATATTGGGCTTTGGATTAAACTCGAAAGACAGCTGCGCTAATATAAATGGCAAAATAAATAAATTTGGAATCAAAATTCGTTTACTCGTATGTCATCCAATCTTTAGGGGCTATAACTCTATTAGTCCGATGACGTCATATCAAAAACGTTCAAAGTCGAGTTCAGAAGGA